CTAAAAAAGAAAAGACTCAATAAAACAGTATAAATTAGGAATTCATTCCCCCACCCCACACTTAAAACATGACACTATCCCCAGTGCAACAACATAAGCTAATGAGTGAAAGAAATATATTTTTTTTGGGTTGGGCTAAGTGTGCTCCTACTCACGATTTTTTTTTTTACGATTTGTTTTTGTACCAGATCCACGACGCGGACAGGATACAGACTTCACTGTCCAATTTTATTTTTTTTCATTATTTTTGTTTTAAACAAATCTAACGCACACTTCACCCTAACCAAAATATGCGGAAGAATCCCCACCCCACACTTGAAAAGATGGTATGTCCCCAAAGCATCAAATAAAATTGAAAACAAGGGTTAGGAAAACTCCCTGAGGCCTCTAGGCCTAGCTAGTATCATGTTCTCTCAATTTATTTTTTCATCAAGGGTCGTACGCACCCCACACTTCAGCTCAAATATGCTCTTTTGCTTCAAATTCTTGGGTACTCAGACTTCCCCTAATCTTCAAAAACAAGATCAAAAGAAAAAAAAAGTGACACTAATAAAATAAAATAACATTTTATTTTAATTAAAAAAAATTAATTTTTTTTAAAACAAAAAAAACTTAAATAAATAAAAAGAAAAAGTTTAACCTAGAAAAACAATTAATTTCTAAGTCCCCGGCAGCGTCGTGAAAAACTTGTTGCATCCAATTGCAAATGCAAGTGTACGTGGTCGTGCAAGTAATATAGTGGCTCTTAAAAGAACCGAATTATCGAACCCAAATGACTTGTCAATTAATTTTTCTTACTAAATTATACTAATTCTAATTATTTATTTAAGGAGGAGGATTTCAAAGTTGAATATATATTAGTTAAACTAAAAATAAAGATAAAATAACTAAAAATCAATTAACTAAGAAAAGATAGATGTGTTATCTCCTGTATTCAGGTTAGTCCAAAAATACAGAAACATAAAGTAGATGAAATAGACATAATGATTTTAATCCGAGTCCACAGAAATCACTGTGTTTCCTTAAGAATTTAATCCCCTCACTGTACCCGAGGTTGCAGATTAATTCCTCCCAAGATAAAACGGATTAACCTGTTAAAGAAGTAGCGGTACCTCAAACTTCAATAACTTTAGCGAACGCAAGAACAGCAACAAGAGCACACAGACTCAGTTGATCGACAATTTTGTTTATGTAAGAAAATGTATGCAGAGAGGAAAAAATTTCAGTGTTTAAAATCGGAAAAAATATCTCTATTTATAACCATTTACAACAAGGAATGCGTCTGTTCAGACAATTCTGTTCAGACCCGTTTTTTCCAGAAGGTTGTGATTTTTGGGAAAAATAACGACTTTTCGGAAGGAACAGGTCCCTTCAGAACATTTTTACCGTTACACGTGAATTTTAAATAAATT